AACGAGCCATCCATTGCTGTCCACGGAGGCAGTGCAGGAAGAAGACACCCAAAGCGTCGCCCGCAACGCCTACGGGAAAGAAGACGCGGAACAGGTGGTGGGCGAGGGATGCGAGAAGGAAGACGTGGAACGGCGTGGGTGGGCGAGGTCGGTGATGGCGTCGTTCTCATCTATAATTCCACCGGGCGGGATGCTGTCCACCGTGTTCAACATTGCCTCCATATGCGTTGGCGCTGGCATCCTCGGACTCCCTGCCGCCTCAAACAGCAGCGGTGTGGTCATGGCGGTTGTGTACCCGGCCATCGTTGGGGTTCTCACTGTCTACGCACTGTACTGCCTCGCCGTGCAGATGGAGCGGCTTGGCCTGACGACTTACGAAGACATGGCACGTACGCTGCTGGGGCCTGGCTTTGACTACTTCACAACTGCTGTGCGTTCTGCAATTACCTTCGGCGGCTGTGTCGCGTTCATCATCTGCGTGGCGGACGTCTTCAGGGCCATTTTCAAGAATGCGGATGCCTCGGGGTACTGGAGGTCGAGTTCAGGCGCCCGTCTGCTGACAAGCCTGGTGTGGCTTGTCTTGATGTTGCCCTTCGTCATCCCGAGGCGCATCAACTCGCTGCGCTACGTCTCGACGGTGGGCGTTGTCTTCATCATCTACTTCGTGGTGATGATCATCGTTCACTCGGGCATGAACGGACTGGCAGAAAACTCGAAACACATAACTGTCGCCGGCAGACCCACCGATGACGGTGTCCACTTGTTCGGCACCGGCAACAAGGCACTGGACGGCGTCGGAGTTTTTATGTTTGCCTACACGTGCCATATCGGTGCGTTTGAGGTCTACTGGGACATGAGAGAGCGCAGCGTGAGTCGATTCACCCTGTACTCCGCCATTGCAGTTCTTCTGTGCTTCATCCTGTACGCCCTGACAGGCATCTTCGGCTACTTTGACTTTGGCAGTCGCGCAACCGTCTCCGCTCTGCTGCTGTACGACCCAGTCAAGGAGCCGGCGGTGATGGTGGGATACGTTGGCGTGCTGGTGAAGCTGTGCGCCTCCTATCCGCTTCTCATCATGATCACCCGAAACTCCCTCTACCACAGTTTTGGGTGGAACCCCGACACGCTGCCGTTTTGGAAACACTGTATCTTCGTCATCAGCCTCGCTGTTGCTTCGCTGCTTTGCGGCCTGTTCATCCCAAAGATCAACACGGTGTTTGGTCTCATTGGTGCGTTCTGTGGCGGTATATTGGCCTTTATTCTTCCCTCTCTCCTGATGATGTACGGCGGTAACTGGTCGCTGCGGTCGGTTGGATGGATGCACTACACCTTCACGTACGTGATGCTTCTCGCCGGTGTTGCGATGATGGTGTTCGGCACG